TATGACTATAGAGATAGAATCAAAACAATTTAAAATATATTTAACATGAAGTAAAAAATATTGATTAAAATATATTAATATACAATTAATGCAAAAATCACTTAGACATTACCTATAGAAAACATTATCTGTGTAAAAACTACTATGAGTAGAAGTATTTGTGACTAAAATTAGAAACTCCTACCTTAAAAACTTGACTGAACCTTGCTAATGGTTAAAAATTATTTAAGAGCCAGGAGCCAGCTCTGGCTAGTGTGGCTCAGTTGGTTGAGTATAGTCCCATAAACCAAACAGTTGCTGGTTCAATCCCCAGTCAGGGCACACACCTCAGGTGCAGATTCAGTTCCTGATCATGGCATGCATGAGAGGCAACCAATCAGTTTCTCACACAGATGGTTCTCTCCCTCCCTTCCCCTCTCTCTACAGTCAATAAGCATGTCTCTAGGTGAGGACAGGAAAAAAAAAACACACACACACAAAAAAAAAAACACACAAAAAAAAAACAACAAAAAACAGGAGCCAGGAACTATGCAAACACAATACAGGCATTACTACATATTATCCTTCAAAACTATGATGTATGTACTTTCATAAGTGAGGAAACAAAGGCTAAGAGGTATAATAGCTTACCAAAAATAACCTGAAAGAGTCAAGGTTGGACTCCACATGTCTGAATACAGTGACTAAAGTTCTAACCACTATATGGTAGTAACTTAAATTTCTACTTAGAAAAATAAAGATTCATTCTCTCTAATTATACTAGTTACTCTGCATGTGACATAAAGCCTACTTTCCACTGAACAATGATTCAAAAGGAGATTTTAGAAGACAGTTGCAGAGTATGGCTGCTAAAAAATCCAACTATTATATATATAAATCAAAGTGTTTTTGTGGCTTTTTCTCCTACTTAAATCTGTATGTGCATAAGGATGTAATCAAATTGCTATGTAATATCACTTCATTTGCCACTCCAAGAACTCATAGCAGCATAACTTCAGGGTTAGTTCTAAGACAGCATATGCAATAAAACAGGATGGAAATGAGACAAGTCTATGATTATCAAACTACAGTTATGGCTGTTAGCATCTTGGGAGCAGGCAGAAAGCTAAACACCTGTAACAAACTAGAAAAATGATCTGTTGAGTAAGAGAAAATGAAAATCAAATGTTTATGTATCATAATTTAGTATTTACCGACCACTTTCCACATGCCAGTAACTGTGCTAGATATTGAGAATACATGTAAAGAAAATAGTGAGATAAATGGTACAATATAAACAGGAATGTACAAAAGGCTAAAGGCACCTAACTTCAGGAGGAAAGGGGAAATGAGGAAGAAAAAAGGTTAGAGAGGGAATCTTAACTGAAATTGGTATCTGAGCCAACTGTTAAAGCATGAATAGGAAACGAGGTAAAGAAAGGCAAGGAACAAGCCCTGCCCTGTGTGGCTCAGTGGGTGAGGCATCATCCCACAAAGCAAAAGGCTGCCAGTTGATTCCTGGTCAGGGCACATGCCTTAAGTTGTGGGCCAGGTTCCCGGTTGGGGCGTATGTGAGAAGCAACAGACAGACGTTTCCCCCCCCTCCCCCTCTCTAAAAATAAATAAATAAAATCTTTTTAAAAAAAGACAAGGAACAAGATATTCAAAAGCACAAAAAGTATAGTCCATTTAGAGAACTGAAAGAATTTAACACAGGATGCACGCGGTAGGTGTTGGGGAATGAAGATAGAGAAGGAAATAAAAAAGGCATACAAAGGGTCTTCACTAGAGCGAATTTTATCTTTCAGGCCAGTGAAAGAAATAGTTGCATGATAAGACATATAAGAAAACGGTAGTTGAGGCTAGATAAGTCAGAAGGTGCCAGATCAAAAGTTTTTTACAAGCTATCTTAACACTTGGATTTTAGCATTCAAGTAACCCGGAGCTTATGTTAGGGTCTATAGAAGAAAACAAAAGGATCATAATTTTATTTGGGAAAAAAATGACCCTGTCTGGGACATGAAAATAAATTGGAGGACAAGACCAAAATTTAAAGGGGATGTGTGTGTAAAAAACTCCAAGTAAGAATGGCAGTAACTTGAGTCAGAATGGTATCAGTGGGGACTTACATAAGTGGGTTCATTTGAGATGCAGAAGAATTGGGGGTCTCTGGGGTTGGAGTTAAAGCTAACATACACTTTCTCCTTTATAACTGCTCACCTATCCATCGACTCTTTTCTTAAGCAACATTATTTAAAAAAAAGTAAATCATTTGCTAAACTAAAAAAAAATGGTGATAGTTATATGCTTTAATTCCAGTTGACAAAGCCCCCTAGAGCCCCCCCAGGTAAAGCTTGAAGAAGGAAGTAGATTTTGAGATGGAGTCTGAAAGATAAGATTATCAGTGCCTATTTATCCATGGAAAATAAGAAAAATTAAGAAAAAGGAATGAAATCTTGATCTAAAATGTTAAGGGTGACAACCAGAATCCAGGTATGTGTAATCGAAAGGACGGTAGTATCACTTACTAACAGAGAGAACACAGGAAAAGGCAAGCGGTGTGCACGCATGTGCACACGTGTGTGTAGAGAGGGATGGAGAGAAAGAAAGGTAAAGGGGGGACTGACTGACTGCAATGGGAAAGATAACAGTAAATACAGTTTTTGTTTTGTGTTGTATTTTTAGTAAATACAGTTTTGAACAGGCTGTGTTAGAGGTTCCTATGAGACACTGAAGTACCAATATGAACTAAGCAAGGATATGACATTCAAGACTTAGATACTTGATACTCAAGCTGGAGATAGAAGTTTGGGTGTCAGCAACATATACATGGCAACTGAAACTGTGAGAGTAGCTGCTGTACAAGGAGACTGAGTTGCTAATATTCAAGATGTGTCATGGAGTAGAACATATCCTTAAAAATCACCCATATTTTACAAATTGGTAGAGCAAATAACATCTGTAAGAAGAGACCAAGAAGACATAGCCAAATAAGTTAAAATTAAAATGAGAACAAGGTATATCAAAAACTAAGGCAAAAAAATCTTTTAAGAAAACATAAGGAGTCAACAACAGTCAAAGCTGCCACGTTAAAATTCAAATGTTTCAGCATTTAGGATCAAGGAGATAGTTAACAATCTTTTAAAAAATAATTTCAGTTAAAGGAGAAAATGGAAGGTAAGGCAGAAGATGTCATCATAAGAAGATGGTAGATATATGAAGACTAGAGGGGTTTGTAATTGACGGAGAGTTTTTTGTTTTGTTTTCTAAGAAAAAGCAAAAGACTGAACATACTAGATATAGAAGTTAAGAAGAGAAGAGGAATACAGCAGGGAATGGGATTAAAAGCACAGATGAAACATTACCTTTCAAGAGAGGAGAAAAAGACAATATCCATATGAAACAGCAAACAGAGAGTATATGTGTTGTCTACTCACATGAACTTATGTAAGTTCTTACAGAATAGGAAAATAAGTTTGGATACATCTTTATAGTATTCCCCCTTTATCCATGGGGGTGACATTCTAAGATCCCCAATGGATGCCCAAAACCACAGACAGACAAAACTACACACACACACACACACACACACACACACACACACACACACACTCTCTCTCTCTCTCTCTCTCTCTCTCTTATTTCTATATATACATACCTATGATAAAGTTTAATTTATAAACTAGACAGAGTAAGACATTAATAACAATAAAAGTTATAACAATACACTGTAATAAAAGTTACATGAATGTGCTCTCTTGCTCTCAAAATGTCTTTTTGTACTATTCTCACTTTTTCACTTAAAGGAAGCACTTTATGGCTTCTCTTTGGCATACTGAATTGCCAACATCACTACTCTTATGGCTTAGGGTCATTACTTAGTAAATTAAGGGTTACTTGAACACAGCACTGTGGTTCCACAACTGATCTGATAACTAAGACAGACAATAAGTGACTAATGAGTGGACAGTATATATGGAGTAGATACACTGGACAAAGGGATGATACATGTCCCAGGTGGTACAGAGTGGGACAGTGGGACATTTCATCATACTACTCAGAACAGCCTGTGATTTACAACTTATAAATTGTTTATTTCTGGAATTTTTCATTTAATATTTTTAGACTGTAGTTGATCATGAGCAAGTGAAACCATGGAAGGCGAAACCACAGATAAGGGGAACTACTGCACATCAAAAAACAATTTTTTTTAATCCTCACCTGAGGACATGCTTACTGATTTTAGAGAGAGGGGAAGAAACAGAGTGAGAGCGGAGAGAAACATTGATGTGAGAGAGAAAAACATCAACTGGCTGCCTCTTCTATGCACCCCAACTGGGGACCAAACGTGCAACCGAGGCACGTGCCCTGGCCAGAAATTCAACCCGCTACTTACAGGATGACACTCCAACCAACTGAGCTACACTGGTCAGGGCTGTACATCAAAATTTTAAAAACACTGCTCTTTGTGGGACTATATAAAACAATATAATCTATATTGTTTTATTATGTTCTTCCACACTTTCCAAATTCTCTATGATAAGTGTGTTAACTATTTTTTTTAAAAAAAACCCTCTGTCCCTTGAATTATAAAGAATAATTCATCATTAAAGCAAAACAATTCAGAAAAGAAAAGCAGAAAGGGGAAAAACAATATCTATAATCTACTAATGTATTGCTTCCATTGGTTGAGAAAATATATGGCTGCTGTATTGCTTAGTATTTTCATAGAAAAAGGAACATTAATAACAGACTCAGACATGAAAGAGGGGATTCCAGTCTCCTCTTAGCTACTACCTCAGTCTCTGTTTTAAAAGAGGATTAATAAACCTCCACTTACAAAAGTAAAATCCAGACATTTGGGGCTTATTATTAATTTAGATGTGTATTTTTAATACTGCTTTTCTTCCTGGCCGTACTTATTATTCTACTTAAGTATTAGTGTAATTATAAAAAACAGCTCTTAGTAATATTCATGGCTACAACTTAAAAAAAAGGAGAATAAAAAAATCGAGGCTTACAGTTGTGGTAAATTTGGTCTAACAAAGGGATCGTTTTCTGCTCCATTGACTGCTTTGTTTTTCCTTTGTTTTGGTTCAGAATTGGTAGAGGGTGCCTGAGAATTATTAGCTGTGGGAGGTTTGCGTTTGGCTAGAAGTTTCCTTTGCCTTTCAATATCTTCCCTTTGCTGATTCACCCATTCTTGTTGCCTGTATAAAAATAAATGTAAAAAACCATATTAACTTTCCATTACTTTTCACAGTTGAAATCTGAAAATCAGAAGTCATATGATATAAATTTGTACCTTTTTGGTCCCTCCCTTGTGATCCAACTCCCACTCACTGTCCAGGTTTTATTTGAAACATTCATTTCTGAATGAGGTATCCCTTAACCCCTAGATTAGGGAAAGATGCACTGCCATATACCTTCTCTTCGTATGTTGTAGCTCCTCACCTCCTTTTTAACAAGTATCATTCCTATAGATATTTGATCAGCATGGTCTGGGGTAGACTACATCACTCCATGAGAACAGACACTACATTTATTTTATATCCTATTGTTTTCCTAGTGTCCAACATGAGGGTTGGTACATAGTAGGTATTCAAAAACATAGGCACTGGCAAAAGAGGGTTTACAGTTGTTATGTATGGAAAAAGACATGCAGGTTATGACTATTAGTTTTATTAACTCTGTGTTTTGCATACTCACAACTGTAAACACCCCCTTTCGCTCACCTCTGTATTTTTTGAATGAAATAAATGTGCTATTAAAAACGAACTCACAGAGTTAAGTATGCAGTAGAGTTTATATTTTACACTTACATTTCTAATTTATATTTAAGGTTATATTATGTAACCTTCTCTTTTATTCATTACCGGGGCAACGTGGGTCTGAGATTAGTAGCAGAGGTTCTTGCTCTTAAAACACTCAAGAATTATGGTTTCTATCTCTAATGTAGCTCCTTCTCACCACTTTCACTGTCAGTATTTTAGCTCAAGCCTAATCACCTTTCATTTGGACATCTTCCCATCTGAACTCACCGACTTATCCTCTTTCTTGTATCACTCCAACATTACCATCAGAATTATCTTTCTGAAACTCAATTCTGACCACATACACTATACAACCTTTAAAGGCTCCCCGTTATCCATAGAATTAAAACCCTAACTCCCCAGCATCACAAGACACTGTCTTTCATTATGGCATACCTAAGGCCCAGCACAGCTGTGTTGAACAAAAGCTGAATAAATCAACTGAGATACAGAGAAAAAGCCTTTCTGTGATGAGTCACGGGCGCTAGTGTTTGAAAAAGCAGTTTTTATGTGATAAATAATGCTTTGTGAAATAATGCTCTGCCTCCATGTTCCATTTAACTGGACTGACTCTGGAAAAGTTGACACAGATGCTGACACTACTCCTACTTTCCATGTTTAAAAAAAAGCTTTTTCAAAAAAAAAAAAAAAAGCAGCAGCATATATCCTGGCTCCTTAGCACATGAACAGTTAACCTATCCTTTTCACCATCTGAACTCAAGATATAGTAACAATGATTTTTTTTAAAGTTTACCTCAGAAACACTAAAGCCACATGTTCAGTTCAACTGATTTATGAGTTATTGTATCTGAGGCAGAAGGAAAAAGTTATTGTCTTTTTTTTGTAGGAATAGAGAACAGGTAAGAATGCATATTAACACAAGTAAGTATTGGGGAATGAAAAACTAAACAGAAAAACTCCAAGATATATATAGACATAAACTTTCCAATGAAAACTAAATTTTCAACAATTTTACCCCTACATCATCTGTAAAGCTATATGGTCAATTTGTATTTTGGAAAGTCATATTTAGAATAATACATCATACCATACAGATGAATGCTAACAAGTCAAAAAGTCTGCTAAAGCTAAAATTTTTTTTTTGTTGCTTTATGTTCCTTTCAAATGTACTAAATTCTGAGATCTCAAAGAGTAATAGGAATAGACGTAGAACATAATCCCAAGTCTAGAATCACTGAAAGTAATGAAAACCCATAGAAAAATTAAATGTTTTAAAATGTAAGAATGACTAACTTCACAAGATTCTGAAATGCAAAACCATCTGTCCATTGTTCAGTAAATGAAGCACCATGTCTAACTGTTGTGAAGTGTCCAAGGCGTAATCTGTCTTGCATACTCTTCTCTCGGCTTGACAGTTTTTCTTGGGTACTCTGAAAAAAGAAGGAAAATTCATCACTCAATTATATTCCTTTAAATTTTAAAAGCGTACAAGGCAAAAGGGGGTAGTAAAAACAAGAGAAATTTTATCAAACTTTTACCTTTTCAATAAGCAGTTTCTTGCTCATTGATATGCACTTATTTAATCGTTCTTTGTATTTTTCAAGTAATTTTTGTTGATCATCTATTTGCCGTCTGAGATCACAGTTAGCCTACAACGTAAGTAGAAAATGGAAAAGATCTAAAATTTATATATATGAGACACTTAGGAATACTTTTAATATACTGAATAAATTACATAAAGAAAAAAGATTAGTAAGATTATGTATTTGAGTATGACACTAAAATTTTTTTAAAAACCCACCTGCTTACCATGGGGTATACTCCTGTTAAATGCTGCTTAATTGTGTAGTGGAAAGTGTATCCATGCTTGATAGGTTCAAATCCACTCTAAGTTAATTGAATCTTAGTTCAGTTGACTTATTTTGAAAATTGGAGCAATGCTATTTACTTCAGTTAAAAATAACCAAAATATAGTATATAAAGTGTCTTAACACTTAAAAATGAACATGATTCTTTTCTATCGTTTGTAATTAATAAAAAAATTTCTCTTCAACTTGTGGATGACACTGTATACATGCCTATCCAACAGACAGCTCCAACATCTTTCTTGGCAAAAATATACCAATTTTGTTGACTTTGTAGGCAGCCACTGACTCAGGGAAGGGGCCCCTCTCTAAACTCAGGATATGAGTCTGATTAGTTGAATATAGTGACAAGAGAATAACCTGATGTGCTTGTTGGCAGACAGATTGTTGGGACCCATCCTCAAGAGTTTCTGAATGTGTCTATCTGAGGTAGGGTCTGAAAATTTATTTCTAATAAGTGTCCCAGTAATGCTGATGCTTCTGATCAGGGGAATCATACTTTGAGAACCATAGGTCTAGGTCAATCATGGTGGAAGCCAAAAGACATTGGTATAATAAATCAAAAATGGTGGGGGATAATGGCTACCAACCTAGAATTGTGTACTTAATAAAACTGTTTTTCAAGAAAAACTGTAAAATAAAGATACTTTCTGAAGAACATAAATGGAATTTGGCACCTCATCACTGCATCAGGAGCAATTCAAACAAACCCCCCCAAATTGTGTAACTTAAAAAACTGATTCTAACATTCCCCTTAGACTGCAAAAGGCCAAATACAGCCAAAAAGAAGAGGATATCGGTCAAGATTTAATAGAAAGCTACAGGAATTATGAAGGTCCAAATGTATTTTCTCCTTCTTTAATAATGAAAAACTAGTAGATTTTTCTGGATTGATACATGCCTCACTAAAAACACATTTCCCAGCTTCCTGTGCGGCTAAGGAATGGAATATTCAAGAAGGCTGCAAACAGAATTGTTGCTTTTCTGTTATTCCCTGCTTCTTTCTATTTTCTTCTCAGGAACACAGGTATCGTAACTGTGACTCTAATAGCTATTTTGTACCTTCCTATAATCCTCAAGATAGAAACCATACACTAAGGATGAGAGGGCAGAAAAACGAAAGGAGTCAAAATCCCATACACATCACTGTGAAGACATCAGACCCCCCTCAGGCTGCTCACTTCTGTTCTTCTCTCAAAAAATAACACTGTATCTCATTTAAAGTATTGTTTATGTCCTGTTACTGATAGCCAAAGACAACAAAAAAGATGCTGTGAAACCAGCATAGGCATACACCAAATAGAACACAAGAACATAGCAAAGAACACAGATATAGATCCACTTGTTTATGAAAACTAGATTCCTACAATAGAGATGGCAATCAAGAGGAGACTTTTAATTAAATGGGCTGGACAACTGGTTATCTATATAGAAAGAAATGAAAGTGAAACCCTACTTCTTCACACCATACCCAAAAACAATTCCAGTGAAATTAACAATTTATATTGAAAAACCTATCAAATTTTTAAAAGAAAATACAGAACATCTTTACAATCATAAGGAAAAATTCTTTTGGTAGACCTCTTCTAATAATTTGGTACAAATAAAACAAACTATAAAAAATATATATTTAGTCACATAAAAATTTTGAAAGCCTCTGTCATTCAAAAGATAGCATGAATAAAGTGAAAAGACAACTCCACTGGAGAAAATTAATATACAGGCTGGGGGAAAAACAGGATTACAGTTTTGAGTACACAAAAACAGTTTATTTTTGTATTATTATTAATTATTGTTATTTTCTATATGAACTATAAACCTTTTGTCCCAAACTGTATAATTGTCAGAACAAAAAACTGACATGAATAAAGACAGCAACCCATTAAGAAAATAAGCAAAAAACACGATCAGTTATTTCCCAGGGGAAACACAAATGGTTAATAAATATTTTAAAAGATAGTAAAAAAATAAAAAGAGAATGCATAATTATAGACACTTTGATACATCCATCAAATTGGCAAAAATTAAAACAAATATTAAACCTGATTATAATGAGATGTGGCAAGGATAATGAGCAACAAAATTATTTCTTGCCCACCACTGGTGGGATCCATCCACTTTGGGAAAAACTTGACATCACAAGGCAAAGTTGAAGATATGCATGCCCTGTACTTATAAGCATATACCATAGAGAAATCCATTACTTGCCCTATAAGACATGTACAAGCTTGTTCTGAGCAGTTCGTATTAGCAAAAAGTAGAAACTAAATGTCCACCAAGAGAAGAAAAGATAAATTACGGTATATTCATATAATGCCTCACTTATAGCAGTAAAATGAACAAATTACTGACACTTGCACATATGATGTTTAGTGAAAACAAGTAGGGTAAAAGGGTACATACAGTGTAATTCTGCTCATGTAAAGTTCAAAAACAGACTGAAATAACATTAAGACTGTATAGATTTATGTAATAAAATCATATAAAATGCAAAGGCATAATAAATACAAAACTTACAATAGTAGTTAATGGTAAAGGGATGTATGTGAGGCAGTGAATATGACGGAATCAGGAAAGGATGTTTCCTGGATGTTTCAAAGGTACTGGTCACTATGGCAGAATCATGGATGTTGGTTTTATTGAGTCTCTATACCAATGATTCTCAATGCTGGCTTAAATCAGAATCATCTGGATGAGCTTTTAAAACTACCAATACTACATCAATTTAATCAGAACCCCTCAGGGTAGAATTTTAGCAACAGTACTGTATCGAGGGCCTCCCACCCTCCTTTCCATCATCCAGGGATTCTAATAAGCAGCAAGGAGCAAGAACCACTGCTCTATACTTTACTCATAAGTACACTTTTTGATGTCTTTTTATAAAGTTTCCATTAAGAATCTCACAGGATTGCAACAGTTACTTCATCTTGTAAAACAGCAAATGTCAGTTAGATTTGTAACAAAATCAATTAACTTTAAAACTAACATGAAATGGATTATCGGTCGTATGATAGTTATTCAAATAAAAGTAATTTTTATTAACATCCTTCTATTTCTCCAACTGTTCTCAACTCACTTTTTAAAGAGCTAATAAAGTAATTTTCACTTTAAAGTTGAAATTTTCAATCAGGTACTTATACAACCAGAAAAGGCTTATTTTTTTCCAGCTATAGAATTCTTTACAATGCTAAGTCTTTTTCTCAACAGTTTTACTATTGCCAAATAATGTCTTTTTTTTTCACCTTCATGACTTACTACTTACCCTGAGCAAGTCATCTATACGACCTTCCTTCTTTTCCAGGTCCTGGTTTTTATTACTTTCTAATGCTGCTATTTTCAGCATTGTGAGATCAGTCTAAATGAAAGAAAGCTATTTTATTATCTCCTTTATATCTTTATCATTGCATGTAAACATAAATTAGATTTTACTGATTCTATAAAGCAAAGAAAATACTTGATTTTGTGTTATGTAAAGGCTATCCCAAAAAGCCTCACTGCAGTTTTAAATTTTAATCAGAAGTGCTACAAACTTACAAAGAAACATTTAAAGAGTATTTAAAATTTTAGAATACTGATATACTTATCATTAAACTCAATCCAGCAGCCACTGCTTTATGCCATCAACTCTAATTTTTGAACATGACAAAAACTTTCATGGGCTATTCACTGACTGAAAGCAGATGTACTTTATAATCCTAGCCTAAAGAGCATCCAAAAAAAAGAAAAAAGAAGAAAAAAAAAAGAACTGTTGATGCACATGCAACAGCTTAGACATGAGCTAACAATAAACATCTCATGGCAATAAATCAGGCAACTGAGGTGGCCAGGAAAAAAGATAAATTCTCCCAGTGCTCAATCTCAAGACAGTGTCATCCAAAAACTCACATGTAAAAAGTTGACATGAGAAAGTACTCAAAATTAGTAAAACTAAATAAGTGAAAAAAATATCTGATTAATTCAATTTTAAAATATTTTTCTTAAGTGTGTAGCATATATGAATATATATATGTATATAGACACCCAAAATGAATGGCTTTGATGTCCACTTATAATAAATAGGACAGCTTCATGAAGACACTGATTATATGTAGTCGGATATTAAGTTAAAAAAAGAATCAGTAGGCAGAATTGACATTATTATGGTTGTTTTGTTTATTTAATTTACTTAAAATATCTACATATTTAACGAGTGTGTAATAAAAGACAACATGGTAGTAACTTGGGTATTTCAATCTTTTACTCCTTATAAATTATTTTTTTGTGTGGATTTCTTTTTTTCTTTTTTTAGGTTTTATTTGTTTATTTTCAGAGAGACAGGAAGGGAGAGAAACATCAGTCAGCTGCCTCTCACATGCCCCCACCTGGGGACCTAGCCCACAACACAGGCATGTGCCCTGACTGGGAATTGAACCAGAGACTTTCTGGTTCACAGGACAGCGCTCAATCCACTGAGCCACACCAGCCAAAGGACTGTGTTTTTGTTTAGTAATAAGCTTAGGTGATGGGTAATTTTACTTTATGACTATGTCCAAAACAAAGAGAAGACATATGAGTTGTTTGTACAAAGATGGCTACTCATTTCTTACAAATCATACAAATAAATTTCAGTATTTACCTGAGTAATTTTAAAACATAACTGCTTTGGTTGTACAACAGGGTGGTCCCCAAATGCTAGTGTAGTAGGAGAAGGGCTATTAGGTCGAACCTTAAAAGAACATATTAAAATTTTTACATTAGCAAGAAAAAAAATAGGCTTCTGTTGAACAACAACTATATAACATTTCTCAAGTTTCTGTCAAGATAATAAACTTAATTAAAACCTAATGACTTTAAAACTTTTAACCACCATTTATTCAACTGGCATTTATTGAGTACCTCCCTCACATAAGGCCCAGTGAGATAATCATATATTCCTTGCCCTCATAGTTACACTCTAATGCCAGAAAAGAAGTTTCAATGCTTTCAATCAGTTAAATAAAACAAGGCCAATATATGTTAAAACAAAAATGTTAAAGTAAAACTGAAAAGATCCTAATGCAGAACTCAGTACTAGCAACCATAGTGCATGCCCATATGGCATATAATATCAATTTACTGATGAGTTTACAATATCTAGTCACTAGTTTTAAAACACATTCCCTGAAAGCAGGAGATGACATCACTATCAATGCGATCGCTATGACTCTACAGTTAGGGTTGAACATTACACTTTACTTTGTATAAGGCAATAGGATGTGTCCCAAGGTACAAAATGATTAAGAAACAGTGAAATGTATTTCTATAGACAAAGACCAGTGGTACACTGGAAGTACAACCAGGATACTTAAATAAATAAGAGATACTCTGATTTTCAAAAATCTTTAGTTCATTTTTAAATTACTAAAAGCTAGTATTGTTCTTCTGGTTAGCTGCTAAACTTTCATACAATGAGAGTAAAGAAAAATGAAATCCAGTATGTCAAACAATGCAGATAAAAGAACTAGATCATAAAATACTAGAAACAAACCGAAAAGTCATAAGATAATTTTCAGGTCCAAGATCCTACTACTATACTGAACTAAATAATCCAAGGCTGATGTCTACTTATCTTTTTCCTAAGGATACCCAGAAAGGAATTATGCTATATTTTAGTGGCTGAGAAATGTAATTCATAAGAAAGTTAAAATTTATAAATAAGTAACTGAACATGGATTGCTGTAAGTCTTCATATTAGTCCCCACAGGCTCAACAGCATTCTTTTATAGAAACATTACTTCTTAGGTATAATTAGTTCAGGAAAACTTTAACTGAAGAATCTCACTTTCAGAAATAAAGTTCTAATAACATCAGATATTAAAAAAGACTCAATTACCCACACAGAATGATTCTTGAAAAGATAAACAATATATACAGAAGTTCTCACAAAATACAACAAATTATAAAAGTTATTTGGTATATACAACTCCCTAGACACATGACTATGCAAGCAAAAACTTACAGATGAAGAAGGAGTGGAATGTGAATGTGAATTTTGAGGAGAACGGATTGCAGGAGGTATGCCTCTTACTGGACTTGAGCCATTCCCACCTTGGTACTGAGGGGGAAAAAAGAAACACAGCTATTAAAACAGGTTCAAATAAATATTATCTTAGACATGGCATTGAGTTAATTTAAATATATCTTGCTTTAAATTAAATCCAGTAGTCCTTTAAATAGGTCCAGAAAAAGCAAAAGTCATGTTAGTCACAATAATGTTAAGTCCTAAAAAGACTCGCGAGAGAACACTGATCATAAGAACATGACAAGATTATGTTTTATACAGACCTTTATTTCTTGAACCTTCTAAATATAATTTTTTTTATTGTGGCAGACTCAAATAAATTCCCTCCCCCCAAACAATGAGCATATCTTATTTTTCCTTCACATTTTAGCATGAAAACTAAAGTCTAAAATGTAACAATAACTTTAAGAGTTATAGTGATAGCACTGACACAGTATTATAACATTATAAATGTTTGTTGAGCCAGTATAAATCCTAATCCCAAAATATTTTAACACATTTACATGTAGATGTTAGTAAACATAATCAACCACCTTAAAACAGAAGCACCATTCTCAAGTTCTGTTATACATCTAAATGTTCGTTGCACTATATGAGTCTACAGACTGAGTTCCTTCCCTTTAACAGTACAAAATCTAATAAAAATTGATCTTTTCTTGCATGCATGACATGCGTTACAGTGCATGACTTAGCTATAGGGAGGGAAGCCACTTAAATCTGTTCCATAGCTACTTTTCTCATTTCTTATGTTTCTGTATCAAGAATGGGAGAAGAAAATTTGCTGTTTACTGGCTTCCTCTCAGGGTATTAAGCCTGAGCAGCACACATGGAGACTTCCTAGTGTGTTCATTAAACAACTTTCTGCAACCTAGGGGCTTGTGTAATTTTTTTTAATCTATAGTGCCCAGCATAACGCCCAGCACATAGTAGGCATTCAAGAGTCTTGAGATTTTATTTAAATTGATCCTACCTTTGGCAAAGATTCTCAATGATATTAACACTGAGGGAATAACCTCCACTAAACAGTAGTAGGTATCTCGTTATCACCAACAATTTTACCTTAGATTCTGTAAACCCAAAATACAATGGAGGGTAGAAAAAAAAATTTTTTTAATGTATCCCTTCCCCCAATCAGCAAATTCTGTTTTCATTCTCAAGTAAATATATTTTTCAACTGGGTAGATTGTTGTTTTAATAATATTAATGTTTTATAATGTGAAACTGGTACCCAAAGTGTTTCTGTGTAGAAGCAAGGAAACATTCCAGGATTGGGTGACAATCTAAATTTACCACTGTTTATTATTTTCAGGAACTCTTACATTAACATTATTTAATCTCCATCCACAGGGCTCAAATGTTGCTGTAGTGTAGTAAAGTCTGTACTGACAGTAGAAAGAATTCTGAACTAGAGGCTGTTAGACTAAGTTCTACTCTTTGCTTTTCCATTTAGAATTTGTCTTTCTGTAGCCTAATTTACATTTGTGGTCCTCAGTTTCCTCTTCTGTAAATACCTATTTTCCTTATCTCCCAAGTTGTTATAAGCGAATATGTGAGAGAATACTTTGAAAATTATTATGTGCCATACCAATGCAGAAGTAAATTTTAATGTTCTTAGGAAGACAGGACATTACATAGACTGAAGCTATGTTCTAATCAAATAGATAATCAAAAGATGACCTTGTGCTTCAAGGAAATGATCTTGGCCCATAGCAGAATTGTATTAAGAACTAAAGATGTTCCTTAATGAACTTACTTCAAAATAGTCGCTAATTTTGTGGCCACGTCCCCCAATACTTTTTCCTAAAATATAAAAGTAAAAAGTTTTATAGATTTAAAGTCAGTCATTAATATTGCTTAATGTCTCCTAATTTCATTAAATCAAGTCAATGAATTTTTTAAAAAAAAAGCTAAGACAAACTGACTCATACCTGTAAATGATAATAAAAAGGCTTTTGTTAACACAAACCAAAACAAACTAACAATAACATGCTTTAATATGAATGCTCTTTCTAAAAATATTTTCATCCTCTTAAAAAGTATTTCTAAATTTACAGGCTGTTTTTTAAAAAACTAGATTTTAAATATTTTACTTACATGACCATATATTGCTAAAGTGATCACAGTTCTTTAAAAATTTTGCTCTAAAATAAACTCAGTTTTATAAAAATTGAATTAGGAAGTTGAAAAGAAATATGGTGTTTCGAGATACGTTTTTTGGGTGGAAGTAATCCACCTTTCATTGGAATTACATAAAATACATGATTTTTTCAAGTTACAAAATAAAAAGTTACACCATGAAATCAAAAGTTTTGTGTAATAAAAACATATGAATTTATCAATTTAATACTGACTTATAGTCATTTACTCATCTATATTATTCAACAAATATTTCTTGAGTGGTTACTATGTGCCAGGCATTACTGAGGTGAACAAACAATCCATTTAAAAGCTCGACAACCTTAAGTTCATGATTGGAACAAGGCAGGGAAATTAAAAAAAAAACAACAAAGAACTCAGGACTATAAATGCTACCTAGAAATTTTGAACAATGATTTTAATACAGGTTTATTCAGAGGTCAGAAAAGGCTGTAAAATTTTTATACCAAAGGAATTTCCCTTCTGCCTGTAACAACTTTCTTGCAGATTCTAAAGACGTGCCATTTAATGAACACAGACATATGGGGTTACCTACCCAGAAGCTGTTTGCCCAAATGAGCCCAAATGAACCCAAATTTTATTCTGTTAACATTCTATACATAGCACATGCAACTTTAGGGGAAGCTGACTCCCATCCAGCCTCAATTCCTAGTTCCTCTTCTGGTAAGAAATTTAATTTTGTTCAGGTATCACCCCTCTTCCATAATGCCTGTATTTAAGGGGAACTTTAACTCATTTTTGATTTTCAGAGATAGGCCTGTTTTTTTTTAATAATCCTTATTCAAGGGTATGTTTACTGATTTTAGAGAAGAGGGAAAAAGGAGAGAGAGACAGAGGGAAACAGTGATGTGAGAGAAACATCAACCAACTGCCTCCTGCACCTGCCCTGACTGCAGATTGAACTCACAACCTAGGTATGTGCCCTGACCAGGAATCAAACCCACAACCTTTTGGTGTATGGGACAATGCTCCAACCAACTAAGCCACCCAGCCAGGGCAAAATGGGCCTTATTTTTTTAAGGGCAATAATACCTTTGTTGGGTGTAAGTGGTTTTGGAATGGACACGTGGATAACAGGAGAGGTTTAAAGGTTAAGCCAAAGAAAGAGAAAAGAAGAAAAAAACCCCCACAGAAAGCCAGCCCTCTTCTTTTTTCTGTCTTGGTGTGAGCTTCTTTGGGTTCATCTTGTTTGGAACTCTGAGTTTCCTAAGCTTGTATGTCTACTACCTTCACCAGATTAGGAAAGTTTTCTGTCATTATTTCTTCAAGTAGGTTTTTAATTCCTTACTCTATTCTTGTGGTACCCTCTATGATGCAAATGTTTGATGCTGTCCCAGAGGCCTTTAATCCAGCCCTTTTCTTAAAGCAAATATGAGCCCTGGCCAGGTGGCTCAGGTGGTTGGAGCATTGTGCCATACAGTGAAAGGTTGCAGTTCGATCCCAGACCAGGACGTGTACAAGAACAATGTCTCTCTGTAAAGCAATAAACATATCCTTGGTTGAGGATTAAAAAAAAAAAAAAAAGGCAAATGTGAGTGAGAAAACTTGTATCAGTAAATCCAATTAAAACTCATGACCAGTCTATACCCATATGAAAATCAGACAGCTCTGCATATAGCAGACCACAAAGAACCACATACAGGTTCTTGAAGACATAGGTTGTATTAGCCAACTCAGAAGACCCACTTTATTTTGGACCTGTTTGAAACTGTGTTTTTAAATCTAAAGTTGAAACAGTCATAATTAATGTATCTTTACACTAAATAAAGCTCCAAGTCCCTTAACCAAAACTTGGAGAACTACACTAAAACCAAAAAGGAGCTCAGGACAAACTGAGATATAATATACCACATAGCTAGAGAAGGTGCTAGAATGACTTCATTTCTTCTTTCTGCTAAGACAACTGCTACAAATACATTCCTTGATGCCAGTGCCATATGTAAAAATACCAGTAAGTCACAGGTTCATGGCCCCAGACCTTAAAGAGTGACCCTCAAATCATGTAATAAATATATATATTAAAAAAAATCATTATTTATGTTTTAAGAGCCTACTTTATTATATTTAATTTTGAGTGGCCAAATTAAATGACAATATATTGTTGTTCATTATAAGAAATTCTGAAGTCTAATGAAAATAATTTTCTTAGCTCATATTACAAAAAGGAAGATATGTAAAAAATCATAAAGAACAGATATGAAAAGAAAAAGATGACGCCTTAATAAAAGTTTCTCAATTATTTTTATATAGTCTTTTTCTTTGTAAATAAAAGGGATGATTAAGTTTGGGTACTTGTTATACAATGAGATCTAAAGTTCTTAGTTAATATCCTAATTCATATAAAAAGAGAAAAAGGAAAGGTATAAAGTGAGACTTGGAGGTTTCAACATGACACTTGTCTTATTAATTCTAATCTAAAAAAATTAAGAGAAATGTCAAAAAAAACCCAAACAGTAACCATACATGATCTGTGGTACAAAAAGATTCCAATTTTATATTATTATTTTCTTATGCAAAGTACATTCTAAAACTATCATTAAATGCATAAATTACATAATTGCTATAAAAATCACAAAAACATGAGGTTACTTATTTTCTATTTAAACTATTAACTGATTTTAAAAAATCACAATAACTGTAAATGTCCGTTTGGTCTGACAGAAGACTCTGCTTCACTCACCCTGACTACTTTCATTCTGATTTTCTGCTTTTCTCTTTCTTCCTCTGGATGATTCCGATTGTTTCTTCTCTGGTGTCTACAGAAAGCAAAGTTAATAGCATTTTAAATCACAGTTTCATTATACAAAATTGTTACAGTCAGTGTAAAAATCATTTGTATTTTCAAAGTAGAATAAAGGATGGGGCAAAAGTAGGTTTAGTTATTCACATGGAAAATAATGCAATAATTAATAAATAATACAAGAATAAGCTTTCACATATTCAAAACTGAAAACATACTTTTGCTTCACCCCATATTGTTTTGCTCAATAGCGCTCACACAACATGAATGTGTACTTATATACAATTTATTTAAAACCCCAAATTTTCCACTCTGTAAATTTTTAAAATTTGAAGTATGGAAGACCTGGTATACATTACTTGAAATTCACATTTACAAATTTTGACTTGAGGTAAATGAAAAATGTGAGAGTAATTAGCATTTCAAAGATGCCCTTTAAATTCTTAACTGGATAGGACAAAATAATACCAACAAAACCATGTTTTTCCTACTCATTTTCTACTATTTACATAAAACTTGGATAAGGGGGGGAAAAAGCAGAACACAAACCCCTATATATACAATCCCTACGACTAAAATGACCATTCACATAAATGCCTAACAATTATTATACAATAACAGTTATAGTAAATTCATAGATTATGCCCTAGATCAAGGCTCAGCAAACTACAGTCCACTGGCCAACTCTGGCTGGGTACCTGTTTTGTAGAATCCATAATCTAAGCATTACTTTTACATTCTTAAATGATTAAAAAATTTAAAAATCAAAACAATATTTTATGATATGAAAGCTTAAGAAATTTAAATTTCACTGTCCATAAAGTTTTATTGGAACACAGCCACACTCATTCATTTATGTATTTTCTACAGTTACTTTTATATCACAGCATCAGACTTCAATAGCTCCAACAGTGACCATATGGCCCACAAAGCCTAAAATAGCTGGCCCTTTACAGAAAAAGTTAGCAGACCCCTGACCTACATGATGGCTTGTTTTCAAATTACAGGTTTGTTCTTTTAACTGATACCAAGTATTTTCATTAGGCTAAAATAACAAGTAATTTTTGTGGAGTCTGACAAACTGTTGTTGTGCTTAGATAAAATTAAAACCAAAAGCACAGCGCAAAGGCACAGGGCCCTCAAATTCGAGAAGCTCGGCAAGTATGTCCAGTGCCAGAACATGAAGACAACTTAAATAAATCTCTAAAGGCAATGCAGTTCTCAAACAAGGGAGGGACTTAATCCATATTTTGATGTGTCTGAGAAGTCTATGATTAAATAGTATGAATGACAATGCATAACCTAACTCATATTGAGCATCTATGGTTCCTCAAAATATTATTTGGGGGTTTTAGGTCATCTCATCTCCATTGTGCCAACAAGGTAACAGATTCAGAGAGGCTGAAGTCAACATTAGTAAGTCTCCCATTTCTTTAAAGACCAGAGAGATACCTTCTCCCCATGTCACCGCTCCCACCCACATGCACAGCACATACTTATTACTAGATAAATGTATGAATATTAAATAACTTACTCAAAGTAACCAGGATTCAACTCCAATTCTATTTCCAAAGCCAAAAACGCATTTTTCTCTATGTAACATGTTATATGCCCTACATCAAGAACTCAATGAATCAACTATTGCAAAAGTACTTCAAAATTTTACTAAATTCCTAAGTGAAAATTCATTATGACAGCAGTTTATCTGTATGTTTTCACATCACAAACCAGAGAACTTAAAGAAATCCACAGTAACTACTCAGGAGGTAGGCTGTACCAGCAATTTAAGGTAAATAGTTAATTAGTTTGGTTTCATTGTCAAAATTAAAACATTTAAACTGAAACAATAACCAATGTTCTATTCTCCTTAGAATAAAAATAGCACCAAATTAAAAATTCTAAGTTAACATTTTTATAAAGAATTCTAAAAAATCTATCCGAGAACAAAAGGATTCCCAAATAATAACTTATTCATATCCTTCCCAACTTACTCTATGTAAAAAAATATAATTTAAGGTCAAGAAGATAATGATTTTTCAGAACAGTACCATACTACTTTTTAGGCATGGCAGGATCCCATTTGAACTCTACCTTAAATCTTGACTACTTCTGAATAAACAAAACACACACACACACACACACACACAAAACAATGCAATTCTGAAAGTTATATTCGAAACATTTTCTATCAAAAAACTATAGAAAATACATAACATCCTTAATGGCTACATATTGTTTTCTAAAGCATATGACAAGGAAAACTGAATCAGTGACAGATTAAGAGGCTACATTTTAAATGGAGGGGATAACAGGGTGGTTTCACTGGGGTGAACAAAATTTGATTTATTAACTGTCATACTTTTAAGAACCATTAAAATGCTAACATTTACTGGCCATCTCCAAAAGGGGAGTGGGACAGAAAGATACAATACATGTACAAATTCTCCAACTTATTGGGGATAACATTCATTAAATACTTCACTGAATACATACTTCAAGATATTTAAGATCTACCCAGTGCTCACTTTGGCAGCACATATACTAAAACTGGAACAATACATAGACAATTAACATGGCACAGCTCCTGTACAAAGATGATACGCAAATTTGTGAAGCATTCCACATATTTTAAGTCATGGGAATGCAATGTGCAGCATAAGAAATATAGTCAATAGTACTTCAGTAACTATGTATAGTGACAGACGGTTACTAGACTCGTAGAGATCACTTAGTAAACTTGAGGAATGTCTAATCACTATGTTGTACCTCTGAAACTAATACTGTTATCAACTTAATTTAAAAATAAATAATAAAAGACATGGATTTCTTGGTAAAAACTTTTTTCTCCCAGGCAAAATTTCCCCAAATTTAAAATTTTCTGGGATACAGACATGGGACATTCTCTCCTTTGGGGGAAATGTCATTTTGCCTAAGAACAAAAATGAAGGGGGAAGAAAACCCAAATGCATAATGACTACAGTGAAGAAAAAAAGGCAATTAAGTTTACTTCCTTTAAACCCGAAAAGAATTTAGAAAGAGGAGGAAAAAGTGGATGACAGGACTAAAATTAAGACTGCAATGTATGACTACTGTGGGGTAAGAAGTTGGAAATAGGTAATAAAAAACTAAAAAGTTGAACGGAGTAAAAGAAAGGGAAACCAGACACACTTAAATTAGCCTATAAAGTAAATGTCTCCCTTATAAACACAGCATTTTTTGTCCCTTCCCATGAACCCTAATCCTTTTCACCTATGTCTTAGTATGACTACCTAGTGTCGACCTTTCATCTCACTCATTATTTTAGGACTGTTGTGTGATCCCAAATAGACCACAACTTTGTAAAAAATAACTACCATGGGCCTCTGAAGAAACAGACTAAGAAACCAAACTCTTTTATTTACTATAACTCTCAGCATGTCATTTAACTCAAGACTTGATTTTCTCCTCAATTTTAAATGTGGTAATACATGCAGAGGACTATGGGTATAAAATGAGAAACAAACCACAAACATACCTAGTACAGCATCTGGAACAAAGTGTGTACTCTATAATTGTCAGTGAGCATTCAAATTCTCTTACTTAAATGGCTATCCTTCTGTTACTATAAATATCCATGTACTTTTATGTTTTTCAAAACTGTTAAATGATCAGGAGCTTCTACCCTAATAACTTACAAATAATTTGTAGGGCTTGCAAAATAAGCACATTTCCTCTTTGAAAGGTCTCATGCAACTCTGTTCTAGACTACAAACCAGAGAACCTGTAGTCTAAGGTCCTAAGTATCACGCCACTAACCATCAGGCAAATGTGCATTAAATAGTATTTTGGTTTTGAATTTAAATAATCTGAGAACACCTGTATTAAACAAAACAAAAACTCAATGAAGCCTACTGCTGCCAATTCTCCTGAGTCACTCATCTGTGAATGAACTTACCTGGGGGCTTTAGAACCTTGGGAATTTAGGATATGCAGAATTTTACCAAATATTTAATCTCCAAAATGGCTGGCTCACCACTGATGAGAAGTTCAGAACACTATCTGTGATTTTCAAACTATACCCCAGAGATACCTTGGGGGGAAAAAAGGAAGTTGTGCTTCAAAAGTTATTAAAGAAGCCCTGGTCAGTGTGGCTCAGTTGGTTGGAGCATCACTTGGTAAACTGAAAGGGCCACGGGTCAATTCCCAGTCAGTGCACATGCCTAGGTTGTGGGTTTGGCCCCCAGTCAGTGTGTGTATAAGCAACAACCAAGCGATGTTTCTCTTCCCCTCTTGCCCTCTCTAAAACCAATAAGCATGCCTGCAGGTGAGGAGTTTAAAAAAAAAAAAAAAGAAAAAGAAAAAGCCCTATAAGAAAAGTCAATGTAAAATAGATGTTCTAGTCAAGAATATCAAATGTACAAGACATTTTTTCTTCCAAACTTTTGCTATAAAAATTAGATTAGAATAATGAATTACAAGAACAATGAAAATCTGTTGTAAAAATTTCCTTGCTGTTTTGTACCAATTTAAATTTAGATAAAAACTATCATGAAACATGTACATCCTAGGTCAAGGATAATTTTGAGCTGGCATGACCTGGAATTCACAGGCTTTGTGAATTTCACAATTCTTTCACAAGGTCTGCCTACCAGCCAAAACTTTAATATCATCCAGACCTATTATCTGGAAATGTTTGCTTGAATCTTTGATACCTTGTAAGAAGATCACTGCTATACTGAAATTAGCAATATAGCAACATTTTGGGATCTTATCACTAAATAAGAGCATTTCCTTGCTATTCAATATAAATCCAATTAATGTATCAGTAATTTTGAGTGTGGCCCATTTTCTGCTGTACTGCCTTCATTATTTAATAATATGTAATATCCAAGAAGGGAAAGAGCTACTGAGATGAAATTGGGAAGCCACCCAACTAAAATGTATGCTGTCTTACAGATAAAGGGTGCCACTTCATATTTTTAAAAGCCTGAAAGATTTTACTCCCTTCACAAATATGCCAGCATCCGCAACCAGAATCAGTATGTAAAGGAAATATAATACTAAAACAATCTTACTCTCAATTTTAAAAAACTATGTAACTTTCCATCCTCACAGTCTGACTTCTTAAGTTCCTATTACATGGACCCATTTTAATTTATACTCACGTATATTTAAAAGAAGCATATGTATTAAGTCTTCAATACTGACAGAATGTATATTGTTTGCCATTTTCTTATCATTTACATAGCATAACTATTTTTTGGCATTTTCCCTTCTCTGGCTTTTCCTTTTTATTTGTCAAATAGTGTAAGTCATAAAATTAAAATAACGCTGGACTTTCTCATCTATTTACATAATCTTGTAAGTTGTTTTCAAATCATACAATCAGAATAAAATAGTCATACAGAACAACTGCTATGAAGGAAAAAAACCAAAAACAAAATTTCAAGATAACTTATTCTGGAAATGTTGGCATTTTGAGAGTACTTACACAGTTTAGAGCAATGATTTCATAACTTTTTGCCCACTGTGACACTCATGATGGAGTAACACGCTCCTGCATAATATCCCTGTAGGCATTTCCTTGACCACGATTCCCTAGAGCTCCTTATACAATTATTTCTTTGGGGCAGATACTCTTAAGTATAAATGCTGTGTCACAGAATATGCATGTTTAAAATTTTAAAGACACTGTCAAATTGTACTTTCAAAGACAGTATCAGCTCTGGTTAGTGTGGCTCAGTGGGCTGAGTGCCAGCCAGCCTGCCAAATCGAAAGGTCACTGGCTCGATTCCAGTCAGGGCACATGCCTGGGTTGCGGGCCAGGTCCCCTACTGGGGGGCATACAAGAGGCAGCCAACTGATGATGATTCTCTCTAGCATCAATGTTTCTCTCCCCTTCTACTTCCCTTCCCCTTTCTCCAAAAAAGTAAAAAGCAAACAAGTAAAACAAACACAATATCAAGCTTACTAACACTAACACTAACACTAACACTACCTACCAGTTCAAACTGTTTACCTGATGTGTTTTCTCTATTGCAATACTACATTTATTATCAGAAAAGTGATTTGTTTCATTTTTTTTAAAAGAAATTGTTCTATCATTTATTAGCACTGATTCTCAACACTGACTATACATCAAAATCATTTACAAAACTTTTATTTAAAATAAAAATCATTTATAAAACTTTAAATAAAAGTTCATGCTGGAGTCCCCATTCCCAGTTCAAGCATTTCTGGAAAAAGACCAAAGGAATCCTTATTTTTAAAAACCTCCAAAAATGATGCTGATGTATCATCATGATTAGCAGCAGTCCATCTGCAATTATAATAATGTCATGTATTTCTTGCATATTCGATTTTAGAGAATCTCTAAAATTAGTAAGTTATTCTTTATATCATCTTCCATTAAGAATTAAAGACCAAAACTGTGACATTTAGCAGAAAACTCATTAGGATATAGTAAGTCCAAAGAGTTGTCATGGTTACTCAGTTATTTTAGAAAGTCCAAATAAATCTTAAAAAAAAAAAAATAGTAAAATAGTCCTGGCTGGTGTGGCTCAGTGGATTGAGCACCAGACTGCAAACTGAAAGGTTGCTGGTTCTATTCCCAGTAGGGGAATAGGCCTGGGTTTCAGGCCAAGTCCCCAGTTGGGGGCCTGTGAGAGGCATCTCTCCACTTGAAGTTTCTCTCACTTTCCTTCTCTCTAAAAATAAGTAAGTAACATCTTAAAAAACAAAACACTGCCTCATCAAAAAATAAAAAAAATAGTAATATAATCACTGTGTTCTACTGACATAAAAATATATCTACTATTTTAAAAACTCTAGTATAAGATATTAAAACTGTATTTCTCAGTAATCTCAACTTATGCTGAATGACCTTAAAATTCAATCTAAAAGCATTATTTATCAGATAAAACATTTGTGAAATGCTATTAATCCAGGCATATCTTGGACTGTCAAATGTGATGATCACTGTAAATCACCTAAAATATGAATATTTCCAAAAATAATACCATTTTTTCAGAAGACTAACTAGAGTCATTTTTCTTACTAATAAGTTATACACTATTTTAGTTAAGCAGAGAGAATGTGGGGACATTGGTTGAGTATCACTTTGAAATAAGGGATACTTTGGAATTACAATTTTGATTGCTGACTTATTATCTGCAGGTAAATTAATTAATCCTTCTGGGCTACTGTTTCTATACTTAGAGATCATTAAACTTACTGAGGTGTAATCTAGCTCCATAGGTAAAGCATTAAAATTTTATTTTCTCTTCTTCATTAATGGTTCTCCCAGAGATTTGCCCAGACCCCCAGAGGATATCTGGCAATATCTGGAGACATATTTGGTTGCTACAACTGCAGGTTACAGATATCTAATGTGTTAGTGATGCTGCTGAACATCCTACATTGCTCAGGACAATCCCATACTCACCCCACTCACCCCAAGAATTACCTGGCCCCAAATGTCAATAATGTTCAAGTTTAGAAAGCCTGTTTCAATTAATACATTAAGAATCATTTGTACTTGACACAAAAACTACCATGCTACAACTACAGTGATGTTAAATTTCATTCAACAAATATTTCCTGATCTCTTGGGATGGTCGAGCAGTATACCAAGTTCCATTTTAAAGCATG